CACTGGACTGTTTTGGAATGGGGGGGCTGGGGGGGGGGCTTTGCAGCTTACCTGGCTGCTTCTTGCTCTGACTGAGGGCTGCTGGGAGCAGGGGGCGGGGCTTGTTGCATGTGCCCGCCCCCTGGGCTCTTTACTGCCGGAGCTCCACTCCTGTGCGCTCCTGCAGGAAATGACCCCTGACCAGGACATATATCTCCCCTGGTTGGCATGACAATTAGGTGAAGGGTGGATGTGACGTATGCTTGGGGATTGGATGGGGTCCGTTTGACTTTCTATAATATGGTTGTACCTGCCAAAAAGGAGCTGCGGTGGCTCAAGTGGTTAAGACGCTGAACTGCAGGCTGTGGAAGGTCAGTAGTTCGAGACCCGGGTGCCGCATGATGGAGTGAGCTCCCATCTCTAGTTCCAGCTCCTGCCAACCTAGCAGTTCGAAAGCAAGAAATTGCAAGTAGATAAATAGGTAGCACTTCAGTAGGAAGGTAACAGCGTTCCGTGCGCCTTGGTGTTTAGTCATGCCAGCCACATGACCACGGAAACGTCTTCGGACAGTGCTGGCTCTTCGGCTTTGAAACGGAGATGAGCACCGCAACCCTTGAGTCGGATTCGACTGGCTTTCGATCAAGGGAACCTTTACCTTTACCTGCCAAAAGACTTCAGTTCTAACATGGTGACTTTTGGATCTTACATAGGCTCTAATAAACTTATCACTGCCAAAGCGAGTTATTGAGTGTAACTGGACCGGGGTCTGACACTCTGTAGTCTGGAGAGAAGCTGCGATTCCAGGAGATCCCCAGGCCTCACCTGGAGGCTTTGGAAATCCAAAAACAAAATCCGTGATAAAAATAACGAAGAGTCAATAAAGATATGTTTGCAAAATCATTTACCGTAGCAATTCTGTAGACAAATTCTCTTTCTATTATCGCTCACACACAGCGAATGCTGTGCAATGTAAACAATCCGTTTCACAATAATTGCTTTATCGGAGCGTGTCGCAATCACAATTCTTATCCATTTCTACTTATCGACTCTTGAAGGAAACATCCCATGTCGACGTTCTAATAACAGAACCCAAGGTCCTTGTTACATTGCGCTGCATTCGTTGAGTGTGAGCAATAACAGAAGAGAATTTTCGACAGAATCACTACAGTAAATGATTTTGCAAACATATCTTTATTGACTCTTCATTATTTTTAAGACAGGGGCTGTTTTTGGATTTCCACTTCCTCCCACGATCTCTCATTTTTGGCTCACCTGGAGGCTGACGTCTCCAAGGAGGACGCTGAAGAACAAACGGCAGCTCTTGGAGTTCCCTGATTGAACCAAGGAGAAATATCAGAGAATAGGGGATTTTTGGAGCATAGTCCCCTGGAGCTTGGCTTCAAGGTATTGGCCTTGGAGGTATATTGCCCCTGCACATGGAGGCTCTCTTCTTTGCCAGCGTTGCTGCCAGTTCCCATCTCTGTGTGCTGCCTCCCTGAAATATTATTGCTCTTTGGAATATTGTTCCTGTTTATACCCCGTCCTATAATTGACAAATGTGATTGGCGTACTTTATGAGAAGTACGAACGGGGAGGTTCTATTCTCGATGGACATGGCTAATATCTATCATCAGACTCCTTGCCATCTCTCCTGTTTCAGGCTTTGTGACCACGGCCCCCGTGAATTCATACGACGTCCGGAGAGTCGAGATAACCCCGCTGGAGCAACGGAAGCTCACGTTTGACACCCACAACATGGTGCGAGATCTGGAAGCTCACGGTAAGGCAGAGGGACCCTTGATCAATGAAACTGAATCTTTGCTGTCACTTGGATCTTCCACTAAGAAGAAGAAGAAGAGATTGGATTTATACCCCCCCCTTCACTACCCAGAGCGGTTTACAATCTCCTTTCCCTTCCCCTCCCCACAACAGACACCCCGTGAGGTAGGTGGGGCTGAGAGAGCTCTGAGAGAACTTGTGACTGACCCGAGGTCACACCAGCAGCTGCATGGGGAAGAGTGGGGAATCAAACCCGGTTCTCCCAGATTAGAGCCCGCGCTCCTAATCTAAAGAGGGAGAATAAGAGGCTGTGGTTTATAGTCTGTGTTTTCCTCCCTGTTCCTTGGTTTCCAGGCAGAACAGCTATTTCAGCCTTGCTTGTCTTGAAGAAAATGTCAGGAAGGATTTATGTTGGGTTTTTGTTTACTAGCAGAATACCTACATGGTGTGTTGGGTGTAAAGACTTGCGAGGTGTAAAGATACCTGCCAAGTGTAGCATCTCTCTGTCTCTCACTTTTTTATTTAATCACACCTAAAGATGCAGTGTGAAAACAGCCTTAATCGGTGTGAAGTTCCAGCTTTGGCTTGCATGACTATAATGGGCAGTAATGGGTTTAAATTAAGGGCAGGAAGGTACTAGCTGGATCTTAGGGAAAACTTTTTGGCAGTCAGAGTTGCGCAGTAGTGGAATGGGCTGCCTAGGGAGGTGGTGAGCTCCCCCTCGCTGGCAGTCTTTAAGCAGAGATGCTCTAGGCTGATCCTGCATTGAGCAGGGGGTTGGACTGGGTGACCTCTATGGACCCTTCCAATTCTGTGATTCTAGGATCCTAATGTAGTCAAGGAATAATAACTTTTCAGCAGGTTTGGTATCCTGTTATGAATTTTGCAAGTACTTGATTCCGTCAGATGCCCCACCCGCTTCCTAAAAGCGCTTGGCAGGCACCCCAAAAGCTGTGGGTGGGCGCCGTGGTGCCCACGGGCGCCATGTTGGGCCCCCCTGGTGTAGCTTAATCTTTTCTTGTACGGTCTCCTGCTTTTAATGCTGTGCCTTCCTCTCCCCCACCAGGCTTTGCAAAAGAACAGGCCCAAACCATCGTGTCGGCGCTAATGGCCCTGTCCACCGTCAGCTTAGATACCGTCTACAAGGATATGGTCACTCAAGCCCAGCAGGTAACTGGTCATCCCTGCTCTCGTCCCTCGCCTGGCACTCTGTCCTTGAATCTATGATGCTCTCTTATGTCTGTTACATTTTTATCCCACTCTTTCTGCCAGGGACTGATTCACTGTTCACTGATTCCTCACTCCCGCGCTAGCCCTCCGACTCTCCCCTCGCCCTGGGGGAGGCTTCCTCTTGGAGCCACACCTCAGGGGGCTTTTCGGGCTGCTGCAGGATGGGAAGGCAGGGAAGTCATGAGGGTTGTCAGTCCCCAGTTGGGGGATCCCTTGGCTTTGTGGCCTCGTTCCTGCCGGGGGGAGGAAATCTCCGGCCCAACAGCAGAGAGGTGACGTAGGCAGGGGTCATTTCCTGCAGGAGCTCACAGGAGCAGAGCTCCGGCAGTAAAGAGCGCAGGGGGTGAGCACATGCAACAAGCCCCACCCCCTGCTCCCAGCAGCCCTCAGTCAGAGCAAGAAGCAGCCAGGTAAGTTGCAGAGCCCACCCACCCCCGGCCCAAAACAGTCCAGTGGCACCTTTAAGACCAAGGTTTATTCAGGTACAAGCTCTCCCTCCTCTGAGAGGACAGATCTGCACATCCCCCCACCCCCCTTCCAGCGTGTTGATGTCAGTACGTCGGGAGTGAAGCTTCCTGCTCCCGGGGCGTCCCCCACCCCCCTTCCAGCGTGTTGAAGGGAACCTGGCAACCCTTGAAGTCCCGCTTCTTTGCTTGGAAGATCACCTCCCACCCTGTCCTCCTGACTTCTTCCCAGGACTTGCCCAAACACAGATTTGAAGGATGGTTCCGAGGCATCTGTTGTGCTTTCAGAAGGTCCCAGATTCAATCCTCGGTGTCTCTCTCTCTCTTTTTAAAAATTTTATAATGTTTATTGAAAGACAGAACATAAGAACATAAGAGATGCCAATGTTGGATCAGGCCAAAGGCCCATCCAGTCCAACACTCTGTATCACACAGTGGCCAGAAATACCAGTGCCGTCAGGAGGTCCACCAGTGGGGCCAGAACTCCAGAAGAACCTCCCACTGTTGAACCCCCCCCCCAAGTACCAAGATGACAGAGCATCACTTGCCCCAGAGTCCCTATCTATACCTTGTGGCTAATAGCCACTGATGGACCTCTGCTCCATATGCTTATCTAATTCCCTTTTTAAGCCGTCCATGCTTGTAGCCGCCACCACTTCCTGTGGCAGTGAATTCCAAGTGTTAATCACTCTTTGGGTGAAGAAGTACTTCCTTTTATCCGTTCTAACCCGACCGCTCAGCAATTTCATGGAGTGCCCACGGGTTCTTGTATTGTGAGAAAGGGAGAAAAGTACCTCTTTCTCTACCTGCTCTTTCCCATGCATAATCTTATAAACCTCGATCATGTCACCCCTCAGTCGTTTCTCCAAGCTAAAGAGCCCTAAGCGCCTTAACCTTTCCTCACAGGGAAAGTATTCCAACCCTTTTATCATTCGAGTTGCCCTTTTCTGCACTTTTTCCAAAGCTATAATATCCTTTTTAAGGTGTGGTGACCAGAATTTCAGCTTACATATATATACCAATCCATACAGATAGTTAAACCTAGTAAACAAATATTGCCATGAGTTCGGATACAACTCCTATGCCCCCTATGCTCTGGCATATTAACATCATGATTGCCTGGCCCCCATGGGAGGGAGCGAGGCGCCTGGGCACGGCTTGGGTGATAAGATCTTTGGAAGTAGTTATGGAAGTTAAGATCTCCCCATCTTGTTTAAATCTGTTGTGAATTTGTTATTGTATTTTACTGTAATTTATTGTTTTTAAATTATGTGTTTACTGTTTTAACCTCGGCACATGGTGCCCTACCCTAAGCCTTTGGGGTAGGGCGGGATATAAATTCAAATATAAATAAATAAATAAAATTACAACAATGTGTGCAACGAAAACATTGATAGTGAGCACAACTAGTACAATCGGAAATCCTTATCAGAATCATCACCTTATATCATTAATTTATGGCATCATCCAACTGAAAAGAAGAAGAGAGAAGAAAAGATTACTCAGACCTAAAAACGTATCCTCAGAGATGTAGCCATTCTATATAGCTGGGATGTGTTGGTAGTATGTTGTTTTCTGCAAAATATGCTAACAGCGGGAACCACTTGCAAGTGAATCTAGAGTGGGACCCCATGTTTCCTTTTGTGTGTGCATCATAAGTATCTGCCACTTTGCCCTTGACATAGTGACCTGATTAGAAGGATCGGCAGCAGGTGACGGGAGAGACCTCTGCCTGAGACCCCGGAGAGCCGCTGGCTTCCAGGAAGAACGTTTGTTCATTTTGTGCCTGAAAAGTCATCCCGCCCTTTAGGGCAGGGAATGAAAATTCTGGGTGTTTTCCACTCATCAGGTATATTTCCAGCCAGAATACCTCCCCCCTCCACGCACCCCCCGTGACCGCTGCTCCACGCCCAGAAGAGGGCAAAACCCCTCCAGGATCCCCGGCCAAACCGGCCTGGAGAAAAATGGCTTCCTGACCCCAATGTGGTGATCAGCATTTCCCTGGGTGCGTAAGAAGCGGCCACGAGAACTAAGCACTTCCTGCCCTCCCTTCTCGGGATCTGCCTGAGTTCACAGAATCAGCATTTTGCTGTCAGATGGCCATCCGGCCTCTTTACACAGAATCCTAGAATCATAGAGTTGGAAGGGACCTCCAGGGTCCTCCAGTCTGACCCCCTGCACAGTGCAGGATGTTCACAAATACCTACCTCCCACACACACCCAGTGACCTCTGCTCCACGCCCAGAAGAGAACACAAAACTTCCAGGATCTCCGGCCAAACTGGCCTGGAGAAAAATGGTTTCCTGACCCCAACGTGGTTCTTTTTTCCTCCTCAGGAGATCACCCTGCAGCAGATCATGGCTCATTTGGACTCCATCCGGAAGGATATGGTCATCCTCGAGAAGAGCGAATTTGCAAATCTGAGAGCAGATAACGAGGTAGTTTACCCCCCTCTGTATTTAATGGCCCAATCTGGATCCTGGGACTGGCATTCCCTCCCCCACAACCCCCCCAGCGGCCACAGTTTAAAGAAAAAGAGCAGCCCTGTTAGGTTCACGTGTCTCCAGGGATCTTTTTGTAGCAGGAACTCCTTTGCATATTAGGCGACATACCCCTAATATAGCCTGATATGGCCAGTCCTCCAAGAGCTTACAGTAGCCCCTGTAGGAAGAGCTCTGTAAGTTCTTGGAGGATTGACTACATTAGGGGTGTGTCGCTTAATATGCAAAGGAGTTCCTGCTACAAAAAGAGCCCTGCGTGTCTCGCTCTGTCGTGTGGCGTGAGGCCAAAAATGGACGCTTCTTACCAAATGTGACTGTAATGATTCCTTGTTTTATGAAAGTGTGTGTGCCTTTAAATGCTTGGTTGGAGTGCATGGTTAGTAGACTAGAGTGATTGAGAGAGACAAATGTGCTGTGACTGGTGGATGACAGAGTGTGGGAGGGGTTTTGAAGTAAATCTGTGTGGGTGCGTCAGTGTGTCAGTTATGAGAGACATTTAGAAATCAGTTGGAATTGTTCAGTTGGTGTTCAGTCAGTGAGGATTATTATAGTTCTGTGTGAGATCTCAAAGAGGGGAGTATATATGTCCTTAGCCTGAGTGGCTGACTCTAAAGGAAAGAGCGAATCCTGTTAATGTTGGAACTGAGTGTCAAACAAACAAAAGTAAAGGAAAAAAGGCTGTCTGTGTGATACATTTGAACAGCCTATTTACAAGTCTCTTTATCCTAAACAGTTACAGAATAACCAACCTCATATTTTGTTCTTAGTTCAATAAATCATCTTTTGTTTACGTTATCCCAGAACTGAATTCAGTCATTCCTCAGGACCACATAGACCCCTGAAAAGCCTAGACTCTGGGTTACTTTACCAGAAAGAAGAAAAGAGAAGAAGGTTTGGAAATCCTTAAATTCCTGGTGGCAGCCGAATCTACCCAGTTTAATAAAGGAAAGAGCACACTTCCTGCCAGATCCCTTAACTGGAGTTGTTGGGGATTGAACCTGGGACCTTCTGCATGCCAAGCAGAGGCTCTTCCCTGGAGCCACGGCCCTCCCCCAATCTTCTAAGAGCTGTCTTCTTTGCCTTTAATAACGGAGTTAGAAGTCTGAGATGTTTAGTATGTGCTGCCTCTTCCATGGAGGGAATGTGAGTCAGTGGCAGAGCATGCAGAAGGTCCCAGGTTCAATCCCAGGCATCTCCAGTTCAAAGGATCAAGTGATGTGAAAGCCCTCCACTCGAAAACTCCAGAGAGCCACTGCTAGTTAAAGTAAATCGTGACCTTGATAGACCAAAGGTATGATTCAATATAAGGCAGCTTCAGGTCTTTAGTCTGGTTTTATATGGACACTTCCACACACTAAATAATCTACTCTCAATCAATGATCCCTCTAAACTGTGGAGTCTTGTGAGCAAAAATTCTACTCTGTGAGCTCCTGGCATTCAAGTTGTGAGCGAGTGATTTGGCTGCTGCATAAATTAGTTTGCTCTGGAGCCACATCCTTCCTGAGCTATGACAAAAATGTGTGAGCCAGAAGCTAAAAAACTGTGAGCTAGCTCACACTAACTCAGCTTAGAGGGAACACTGCTCTCAATCCACTTTCAGTGCACTTTGCAACTGGATTTTACTGTGTGAACTGGCAAAATCCACTTGCAAACAGTCGCCAAAGTGGATTGGAAGTGCATTATTTACCATGCGTGAAAGCGCCTTTAGCGTTGGTTTTCACAGTGCCTCCTGCCGTGGTGACAAAGCGCCTTCTACACATATAAATCAACCGAGATTTTTCCCAGTTCCTGCATATTGTGTGACTTCCTTGTTTAATAAGGCCTCAACTGACTCACGATTTCCCTCCCCTCTCTTTTTTGGGTACCTAGAAAATGAAAATCGAGTTGGATCAAGTTAAACAGCAGCTCCTGGTGAGTCGACAAGAATCCTTCTGACAGTTTGGCCGCTATTCAGACGTAGCTAAGAAACCACCAGTAGCTTGTGGGGTGAACAGACCTTAGATTCTCGGACTGGCACCCTTCCTCCCTCCCGTGTGAACCTGCACCTGATGACTTTTTGGGTCTAACTCAGTTGGTTGTGATGTGGTTTCGAACCCACGTTTCCAACGCAAGAAACAAACCGTAACCTAAATGATCTCCCAACATGATAGGCAAAGAGACACAGTGGTAAAGAAGGAAGCAGAAGATTTCCACGTTTTAATCCCTCTCTGCGTAAAGTAGTATTTCCTTTTGTCCGTCCTGATCCTACTGCCCATCAGCTTCATTGGATGCCCTCGAGTTCCAGTATTTTGGGAGAGGGAGAGAAATTTCTCTTAGTCAACTCTCTCCACCCCATGCATCATTTCACAAACTTCTATTATGCCTCCTCTTTTCTAAAATCTCCTCCTCAGCATGAAATCCTGCTCCTGCAGAAGGTTCCGAGTTCACCCACAGCGCTTCTATTTAACTGATCTCAAGTGATGGGTGTTTTGAAATAATTTCCCTTGCCTGCAATCCTGGAGATCTGCTGACAGCCAGGGTGGACTGTGGGAAGCGGACCAGTGTTCAGACAGGAGGCTGTTTCGTGGTCATGTGCAGGGCCGGCTCACCCACTAGGCAAACTAGGCATTTGCCTAGAGTGCTGGGCCCTGGATGGGGCGCCAAGCTGTGCCTCCCCCCTCCTCCCCCCCTTTGGTGGTGGCGGCGGCGGGGGGAGGAGGCGGTGGTGGCGGCAGCAAAAGGGTGGCTGGCTCCAGAGGTCTCCATGTCTCCAGGCCCCACCAGGAGGTTGGCATCTGTGCCATAAGGCAGCCTCACCTAGGGCGCAGAAACACCTCGAGCTGGCCCTGGTCATGTGTGTCCGTGTGTACATTCAATCCTTTATTATTATTTAATCCTTTTCTTAAGAATGAAACGAACAGAATACGAGCTGATAACAAACTGGACATCAACTTGGAGAGAAGCCGGGTGACGGACATGGTAAAGAATCGTTTGCAAATCCCCCCCCCCACGCCCCATCTCTCCCCACCGCCACCCCATTCCACTTTTCCTGTGCCTTGTAACTTCTTGACTTTCCCCCCCTCAAACCCTGCAGTTCACAGATCAGGAGAAAAAACTCATGGAAGTCACGACGGAGTTCCATAAGAAAGTAAGTCATTGAAGGGGGGGGCAGATCTGGGAGCAAAATCTGAGAGCCAGTTTGGTGTAGTGGTTAAGTGCGCGGACTCTAATCTGGGAGAACCGGGTTTGATTCCCCCACTCCTCCACTTGCACCTGGCTGGATGACCTTGGGCAAGCCGTAGTTCTGATAAGAGCTGTTCTTGAAAAAGAGCAGTTTCTGTCAAGAGCTCTCTTAGCCCC